TGATTTTTTTCGAAAATCTATAAATAAAATATATATTAACAAATTTATACAATTTTAGAATTTAAATAATACTAGAAGAAATATTTATTTATACATATCATAAAACACAAACGAGCTTGTAAATAACGTCCATTGTTAATATTACAACGAAACGACTTCAAATTGAAGCATTTTCGATTTAGCCTTGACGACGATGACAATAAAGATGACTCGTCGACAGGGCCTTAACTAGCAATGAATCATTAACAATACGCATCTTCTTTGGAATTACGACAGCGGAGGATTACCTATTTAAGGCAATGCCAAATCAGTCTAAAGAACGTGTCCCTGCAATCCACGTGCATTTATTTAAAATATTTCCAAACTAGTTATCCAGCTTGACGTTTGTAAGCCGTTACTTTGAAGGATAACGTTAATAGGAAATTATATAGCAAAACGATGCTCACGTATACGTTCGCAATAATTATCGACGTATTCTTATTCTCGAAGCACACCATTCATGTTCAGATTATTAACTGTGATCAAGCACAGTCATCTCATCCATTAGATGGTGAAACGAGATCTAATTACCAGATGAAAAGCACACACAATGTAAAAAAGTATTATGTTCTTGTGCTTATTTTTTAAATATACTACTTATGTTATAAAATATTAAATGCAATTTTATAGAAATGAATTAGAAAAACGAGATTAGAAGAAACAATAAATGAATTACATTGCAAATATGAAAAGAAAAGATAGTTCAAGAAATTTTGATGATGTAGAATTAAAGGTCAAAAAGTATAATATAGAAGTTATAGTACATATTTTTTTATTCAAACTTTGTTGCAGAGCAAAGGTATAAATACATCCTATTTGAATTCGTCGGTATAAAAGTAAAAAAAAAATATTAATTCGTCATTGAAATGAAATTTATGACAATTGTCGCACAGAGTTAGTGTAACAGTAAAAATATAATTAGTTATAGGTAGACAGCTCATTAAGGCACTGCTTTTTCTGTTCTTTTTTGTTAAGAACATATTGACATTATGATTATTACTTCCAAGGAACTGGTTCCAAGGTCCATTGTTGATCGAGATTCTTAGTACAAGCCGCTATTATAGGCGTGTCATCGTCCGTTGTTGCTTGAAGACACATCTCAGAAGGCACGTGCAAAATTACTTTCGTCTAGAAATAATTATTGATATTGTAAAAATCGCTAAAAGAAGCACATCATAGTTAATATTCCATCAGTTAGAAATACAGTACTTGTTCATTATATTTCCATTTCTGTCTTTCGCGACCGCTACATGCCATTATTTTTACTTTTGGCGTCTTTTGTTGCATATCTCGTTCCGGTGCGTCCAAACATACACTTTCATCGGTCATTATCACTCCATTTTTGGTCATCACGAACATCTGGCTGAGCATCGGACGCGGTATACATGAATGTAAGACTGCGTTTCCTGAAGGTTGTCCATAAGAACCTTTCGCAGTTGGTCGCATAATGCACTTCTTTGTCCCAGCATGCACTATCTGATATGAAAAGTCTCAATTTATAAAATTATTTAAAAGTTAAATATTTTATATATATATATATAAACACATACATATATATACACTATATACATATGGTAGTTTATATCATATGACATATACAATAGAATCAACGATACCCTGCCGAAGAATCGGTCATCTGTAGGAAAGAAATGCTCCGGCCACACATTCTCCAAGTACCACTCGAAACTCTTACACTGCAGTTTCTCGCGTAAAGCTAGTCTCGAACGAATTTGCTGCTTATATCTCAGTCTAGCTGCCTCTAATGAAATTCGAGATATGAGAATCCGCTCATCCATGAAATTTAAGATCTAACTAAATAGATAAAATATAAATTCGTAATATATGATGATAAAATGTATCACTATTAATAGTAATCTCACCAGGATTGAACTTGAAATAGAACTCCGCCCATTGATCCATCCATACCAAAGCGACTCTAGCAAGGTTGCCATATAATATATCTCCAACGCCGCCCGGAAAAGTATAAGGTGAAGATTTTCGAAAAAGATGACCAACATGAGAACACGGAGCAATCTCGATACTGCCTCCACATTGCCAAGCTCGGAAAGATAGTTCCAAATTTTCACCACCCCAAATTTTCATGTCATCATCGTAGCTTCCCAACTCGAAAAAGTAATCTTTGTTTATTGAAAACAGCCCACCTGCCATTGCAGGTGTTCGAAATGGTTCAACAATGTTATCGCGTCTTTCCTTCAACAGACGGCCATTTAAAGTTAGCCAACGAAAATGTAAGTCCCAATTAAATGCACCCCAATGAAGTTCAAACGATCTTGTATAACTGAATGTATTATCATTTATTATATCAATCACAGGAGCGACTATTCTTGTTGCGTTTTTACTAACCACTTCAAGTAATGGTTCCAACCATCCTACAAATATTACATTGTGGATAATAAACTGTTTCAAATGTTATTATAAAATAATATAGTTTACTTACCAATAGTACATTCGCAGTGAGCATCAAGAAAAGTGAGAACTTCACCTTTAGCATCGTTCGCACCTAATAATCTCGCTTTTATCAATCCTATTCTTTCGGTAGATCTTAAAACTCTTGTAGAAACGCTCAAATTCTTCACGTAATCATCCAAAGATTTTTTCAGGAATTCTAGCAATAAAAAGATAACAGAAGATGAATTTGTTACAAATAATAAAGTTGATATTATGATTTGTAATTAATTAAATATTCACACCTCTTTCACTGTTATCATCTACAAGAATAATTTCTTCTAGCAGTTCTTTCGGAGATCTATTGATGACACTATGTACTGTTCGCAATAGTGTACTCCAAGCTTCGTTATGAAAAACTATGATGATAGACGTTTTCGGCAATTTACCTAAGTTTGCATATCGCGAAATACACCTGTAAAATTTTTTAAATAGAACTATTTAAAAGACATTTTACAACTAAATAGTATTAAAAATTTATCTGACAAATTAGACAATAATACTCTTACTTTTTTTTTCTAACATCTGGTAGAGATCGATTTAACGGTATTTTATCGCTAGCCATTAAATTAAATCGGTTAATTTGATACAATTGCTGCATTTTATAAAAGTCTTTTGGATGTATTACTACAGGGTCTCCATTTTTGCCTTCAAATGGCAGTGGATTGAACAAATTTTGGTTAATAACATCTAAAAAAAAAAATGTAATATATCTATTCACAGAATTCTTCTAATATTAATATTTATTACCTTTTGTAATGTTTGGAATTTTCAAGGAATCCACAGAATCTCCTATATAATGACCAACCACTACATGAATTCCTCGTTGATCAATGTAATCTTTCTGGTTTCCATGTGATCTGTAACAGAAGCACATATGCTGAATTTAAATCAATATTTAACTCAATTTAAATAAAAAGTAATTGTTAATTTATACCGAATAAGGTTATTTTGTAAATTAACACTCTTCTCTTTCCTCCTATACCAAAGCAAAAATTCACATAAGAATATAATGATCAAGAAAACGATTAACACCGTTCGACATTGTCGTAAACGTCTTATTAATCTAGGCAACATTCTGCTACTCATTAATCCATAATATCAATCTTGTTCACTTGTTTATATCCTCCACATATATCAGAGGATTAATTCATGTATAACTGATCAATTTTGAGAAGTTCCACTTCATTTTATTTTATTAAGTTGCCTATTATCATGCAGATTCAATCTCTGTTATCACTAGTTCTTCGTGATCGATAGGTCAGGTCATTGCGACAAAAAAGAAAGATTCCAAGAAACTTCTGAAGTGGACTCTGGAAGAAAAATTGTTTGTTATTATTTCGATTATGAAAGACTGATTTTTAAAACTTATAATTTTGTTTTTTTTTAGTATGCCTTTTTATACCAATAGTAAAATTTATTTGTAAATAAATTTAGATTTGCATTATATATTAGTATTTTATTAATTAATATACATTTTTATGTACTATATATATATATATATATAATATAATAAAAATATAATAAAAAAATTTATTTATTATATTAATATAAAAAATAAGTTTTTATATCAATGACATTATTTTATAATTGCA